CCTCCTCCTCCTCCTCCTCCTCCTCCTCCTCCTCCTCCTCCTCCTCCTCCTACTACTCCTACTCCTACTCGTACTCGTACGCGTCCTCATCCCTCCTCCCTCCTCCCTCCTCCCTCCTCCCTCCTCCCGCATCCTCCTCCTCCTCCTCCTCCTCCTCCTCCTCCTCCTCCTCCTCCTCCTCCTCCTCCTCCTCTGGCCCGCGCGCGCGGGCGCCGTCCTTGAAGTAGCCCGCCAGTCGCTTGACCTTGAGGACCTCGGCGGGACGCGAGGACGAGCAGGAGGGAGGAGGATCGAGGGTCGAGGATCGCGGGTCGAGGATCGGTGCTGCCCTGCCACGTGCAGCCCCATGGGGGCCTTCGAGACCGCGGGGTTTCCTCTAGGGACCTTCGGGAACCGAAGGAGCAGGAGGTAGGGGGATGAGGCATGAGGACGAAGAGGGAAGAAGACCCACGCGACGACTCCTGCGGTGCAACGACGCTTGCGGTAATGCTCGCGGCGCCGCCCGCAGCGACGCCCACAGCGGCGCCTGCGGCGCCACCTGCAGAGACGGAGGATCCCTCAGATCTGGAGCGTCGCGAGGAATGAATACGACGGGCGGTGCTGGTCACATCGGGCCGCCTGGACCCCTCGCGTATCGATCTGCCTGGAAAGGTTGTACCCGAGGACGGGGTCGAGAGCTTTGGTCGTGATTGTCACGGGCGGTGCGTTGCTCACGGCGTCGGACCTCGGGGGTGGGGCACAGTGCCCCTCGGGAGCGCGTGCGCGGCCTTCAACGCGGCATCCGACGGGTCTGTTTCACGAAGCAGCCGTGGTGGAGTCTGCTACCCACGCTGCATGCGGCACGACCTCAACGCCAGGGGCTGCTAGTGCGAGGTCGGCACAGCAGACCCTCAGCAGTCTATGTTGGGCTCAACGCTCGCAGACAGAACGTGCCCGAAGGCCCGAATTCTGGCATGGCGCAGTGTGTTCCCTCGGCTGCACGCGGGAGTGACCCTGGGCAGGAGCGACCTCTGATGCGCGGCTCCAGGGGCCCGCGGGAGGCGGGCCCATCCAAGCGCGCGGGCCACTGCTGGGGGGCCCCCTCTGGGCCCGCACCAGAAGGTCCCTCCAGCGAATCGTCACACTTACGCGTGGCCGATTCCCGCAGCTCGCGCCAAGGTCAAGGAGCGCCCGGCTCACGCAGTGCTCCCCGCTGGCCATCGCTCGGACGTCGATTCCCTGTGTTTTTTTTGAATTTCGTGCGTGGTTCTTTCGCCAAATGATCAAGGATTCTCCTCGATGGTCCTCGCCGAAAGAAAAATGCACACGTCCGAGCGATGCCAAGCCCGCGCCCCCCCCCCCCCCCCCTGCGTGCCTGCGCGGGAAACTGCGTCACTGCGCGGCGGCTGCCGCGCATGGACAGCCACGGCGGCGGCAGTACAACATGCTGCCGTGGCGGCACACGAGATGACCGCACGGGATGGGGCACGGAGGCAATGGATCGCACGAGATCTGCCACGGGTAGACGATTCACGTCCGGCGTCGGTCAAATATAGAAGTGTGCTCACTGTGTTGCAAGCTTGGGCCAAAGCGGCTACGGACCAGCCTTCAACACTGCACTCAGGGTCGCAAGGCTGTGGCGAGAGACATGGGGAAACCATGGCGCACGACGGGCGCGACGACTCGCAGAACCGCTTCTTGGGTACGCAGGGCGCTCAACGAGAAGCCCAAGAGCCAAGGTGGAGAATAAGGGGGGGGGGGGGGGGGCAACCATCGACCCGAAAGAGAGAGGTCGAGGAGGAGGAGGAGGAGGAGGTGGAGGAGGAGAAGCTAGTGCGCAGCGGCTGCCTTCGACACGCCTGGGGTCTGCCCCTGCCTGCCGACGCGCCAGCCGGCCGCACGCCGCAGCGCCACCTCCGAGCGCACGCGCCGCCCCCGCCGTGGCGCCGCGCAGCGCCCCGCTCAGCCCAGCCTCTTCCGCTTCGAGCGTGCCAGCGCCTCGTGGACGCCCTGCGCCACCTGCGCCTGCGGGGGAAGACCCCAGACAGCTCCCTGCCAGGGGCGCGGTCCTGACCAGCATCTCGAGGCGAGTCCAGCCGAGGCCTCCTCCTCCTCCTCCTCCTCCTCCTCCTCCTCCTCCTCCTCCTCCTCCTCCTCCTCCTCCTCCTGGGAGGCCCAGGGCAGCGAGAGCGCGGCAGGGGCAGCGGTGTCGGCGATGTTTCTCCTCCTCGGAGAGCCGCTCCGCGCAGCGAGAGGTGCACGCGGTCCTGCTGGTAGGCCTCCGCGCCCAGCGCGGGCTCCACCAGCTCCAGGCCCTCCTCGGACGCGAGCCTCCGCAGCCCGGGGTGCACCACGTCGCGCAGGTTGGCGGCCAGGCGCCCCGGCACGGCTCCGGGCGGCAGCACCAGAAGGATGGGAGGCCACCGCTCGACGAGCGAGCCCGCCTCCTTTGACGAGCGTTAGGTCGGGCATGCCCTCCTTCAGGCGGATTCCGGATGAAAACAACAGGTGCAAGGGTTTAGCCAGAAATAGTCGACTGCTTGAATCTGCCTCCTGTAGGGGGACATGCCCGACTTAAGACTAGCGGCGAGGGCACCCACATCCGCACCCTCGCGGCCTAGATCCTGGGGCGCGGCGCGATCCCGTGGATGCGCGGCCGCACGGGTACGCTCCGTGCGAGGCATCCTCGAGCAATACAAAAAAACACCCTGTAGACACGGGGTCGCAGCCCGGGGGCCCGGCCCGCGAGGCCGAGGATACGGGCACGCGTCTCCCGCCCACGGCCCAGACATGCGATGCTCTTGTTTTGTTCCACCGGTCTTTCATTCTGGGTCGTTCTTTGACGGCCCTGGGGCCCGGTGAGGGCCCCCCGAGGCCGAAAACAGCGAAGACTCTTCCGCCCTTTTCTGCTGTGACCACGCCAGCATGTCGAGGGGGTCCTCCGCGCCGCGCGCCCCCGCGGCCGCGGGGCGGAGCAGCTCCAGGAGGGCGAGGATGCCCTCGGGCACCCGCTCGGGCTCGCCGGAACGGTGCCACGCGTCGTTGGTGCCCAGCATGACGACGTACGTGTGGGCTGCGCTCCCGACGGCGTCGGCGCACCGCTGCGAGGCGGCGTAGCACTTCTTCCCTGGCGTGGCCGCGGCGGTGGCGCCGCCGAGGCCGAAGCTGCGCACCCGGCACGCGCCGGGCCCCGCGCTCTGCTCCAAGAGCCGCTGCAGCTGGGCCGGGTACGCGTCTGCCCCCGCGGTGCCCCCCCGCTGCGAGGCGGGGAGCTGTGCACCACCACCGCCTGGGGGAGCGATCTCCTCGGGGGCCTCGGGGCAGGCGTTGGATCTACCGATACATCTGGCCCCCCACCCCCCCAGGGCACGAGCACGCCGGAGTACCGTGTGGGATCTGCTCTAGGACAAGAACATGCCGTAGACGGATCTACCCTTCCTACGACCCTGCACCGCGCCGACCGCAACGGCCAAGTTGTCCATGGACGTATCCACCCTGAAAAAAACATGAGCGTCACGGCACCGCATGTCTCCATTGACGCTTTTGGCGAGGACGTGAGAACGGCACGTGGCATCGGCCCCAGATGTTGGTCTTCTAGAAGCAGGTCGGCGTGGCCCTCCAACGAATACGTCCACATCCATCGTCTGCCGAGGTCCCCGAAGATCGATACCCCAGGCCCCAGGCGGTTGTTATGGAAAGATCCCCGCCTCAGACCCGCCCTCTCCGAGGTGCAGGGGACCATAGAACGATCAGGCAGACCCTCCGGAGGCCTCACGAGGACAGCCCAATCAGGCTGGCTCTCGGCAATCCCGAACCTCTAGCCTTAGGAGGAGGAGGAGGAGGAGGAGGAGGAGGAGGAGGAGGAGGAGGAGGAGGAGGAGGAGGGAGGAGGGGGTTGGCAATCCTGATTTGGTTTGGCACGTCCCACATGCGCGGGCCCCGGAACTCTCGACACCTTCCGGGGACAGGTTCTGCCCGTCACGGATCGTTCTGGATGGCCCCGGAGCCCCAGAACGGCCCGAAGCCCCAGGAGGCCGAACTCGAGAAAGAGCCTTCGGCTGAATTTCTGCCAGGACCGCTGGAGGTACGGCAGGTTCGTGTCGTGACGGCTGGCGCGCTGGTTTCTGACACCGCGTGAACCGCTTCACCTTGAGCGACGGCGGCTTCCGACATCGCAGCTCGTCCCACATCGGCCGATTCTGGGCTACAGCTGGGGCGTTGACCTAAGGAACGAGAAGCAAGGAACGAAGCATCCTTTTTCCATAAGTTGAACTTCGACTTCCCATCGAAAAATCGGAGGAATACCCAGGGCAGACTGCAGAACAACTAAGGAGCACGGAGCCCCTCGCAAACGAAAAGGGTGCCTTCTGCAGCGCCCCGGCTGCACCGGCGGCGCTCCACCTTGAGCAGCGCCCGCGCCCGGGGCTCCATGCCACGCGGCCCTGCCGGTCCGAGCCTGCTCTCTCCGAGGGGCCGCCTGATCACCTGCCGGCCTTGGGTCGGGCATGTCGTCCGACAGGCGGATCTGGGATGGAAAAGTTCGAAGATTCCCCCCCAAAAAAAAACCAAAGAGATAGCCAGAAAGAGTCGAAGAGTCGTCCCCAGACCACTTTTTGACTATTTTTGACTCTTCCTCCTGCAGAGAGGGACACGCCCGACGGAGTGCTGGCCCCCCCCCCATGCCCCCCTCGGAGCGGCGCGGGGGGGGCGTCCACCGCGGGCATGCCCTGCCGAGGCCGCCCCCCGCCGTGTTGGAGTCGCCCACGCGCGGGGCGGCGGGGACGGGCGCTGCACGCCACCACGGAGGGGCAGCGGGGAAGCGGGGGGAGCGGGCTCGTGGCGGGAGGCGTCGGCCTGGAGTCGGCGGCGCGTCGCCGAGGAATCGGCGAGGGGCTCTCGGCTGCGAGGCGGCAGGCTCCTGGGCGGGGGTGGGCCCTCGGGCCCCCTGGGCGATGCGCGAGCGACCGGGGGCCGAGGAATCCGCCACTGAACCCATCCCGCCCTGGCGCTGCTCCTGACGCTGCCTCCCAGTCAGACGGGCGACCCCTGGGGTGTGCTCGTGTGCGCGATCACGCCCACGCGGGTCAGTGGGGTTACTGATGCCAGTGGCGATCCAGGGCGCGTGTGTAGGCACCTGGGCCGCTCTCTCTGGGGCGATGTTATGCGTTGATCGATCCCCGCTGCAGCCGTAATCCACCTTGGAACAAAAAACGGGCCTTGAGCTAACACCAATAACCGCCGCAACCCCCCCTCCTCTGTGGGATCTCATATGTATATGTACATGTATGCGTGCGTGCTCCCCAGACAGTGCTTGCAGTTAGGGATTCTTGCAAACTGAACCTGCGGGCCGCTCTAGCCGCCATGTGGCCGCCGTCGCCGCCTCGTCGCCGCCCATCGCCGCCCGTCGCCTGGGCCTGCGGGCCGCTCTGGCCGCCATGTGTCCGCCGTCGCCGCCTCGTCGCCACTCGCCGCCTCGTCGCCGCGTGCATTGCTTTGAATTGCGTTGCGCTCTGCGCTGCATTACATTGATTTGCACTGCTCCGTATGCACCAAGAAGCTTACACCACATAGATTGCACCCGAGATATTGCATCACATAGGTTGCATAACATAGATTGCACCACGTAGGTTGCACCACATAGATTGCGCCACATCGATGGCAGCACATAGTTTATGACACATTGGCTGTACCACATCGATTGCACCACCTTGATTGCACCACATAGATTGCACGACATAGGTTACACCACATCGATTGGACCACATAGCTTACACTTCGAATTTTGAAGATATACACAAACTCAGGGGGTGTCGCTCAAGCACCTATTGCTGATCGAGCGATGAAGTTCCATTAACCCATGCCGAAAGCAAGGGCGCGCTCGGGCACTGCATTTTTATCCAGCTCTCCAGCGGTCCGCGGCATGCGTTCTTGTACTGAATGCTCACCGCGCGCGAGCCTTCCAGCAGGTCGAGCAGAGAACAAGAGTGTGACGCCGTCGTCGACGTCGTCGTCGCCGCCGCGTCGTCGCCGTCGCCGCCGCAATCGTCGCATGCGAACATGACCACTGGGGCCTTAGATGGAGCTAGATATGGGGCCACGAGGCGCGTGATTGGCGGAGGCAGGGATAGGAGGGAGGGAGGAGGAGGAGGGAGGAGGGAGAGAGGAGAGGGATAGGGGGGGGAGGGAGAGGAGAGGGAGGGAGGGGGGGGGGAGGAGAGGGGAGGGGAGGAGAGGAGAGGAGGGGGAGGGAGGAGGAGAGGGAGAGAGGGATAGGAGGGAGGGAGGAGGGGGAGGAGGACGCGGGGCCCCACTTCTTCGAGACGAGGACCCAACACCGCAGAATGGTTCGGCAACACAACGCCACGACGCCGTGCACAAGTCCTGCTCGGAGCCTTCGGCCCCATCGGCGCACCCCCGCAATCGAACCCACATCCCTCGTCGAAATTGAACGCAAGTTTTAGCCGCGACCTGGCGGCGCCCTCCGACCCCCAATTTCAATGTTCACGCCGACGCCGGCGACTTCGAGATGTTCTTCGGACCCCGCCGGCCGCGATGAGCCTGTCGATGAACATTCAAATTTGGGGGCGACGGGGGTGGGAAAAACTTGCGTTCAATTTCGACGAGGGTTGCAGGACATCGGACCGTGAGGGCCACGGGGCCTCCAAAGGGGGGCAGAGCACGCCCGAAGTGCCCCCCGCTCTCTCACGCCGCGCTGGCGCGAGGGGAGGCCAGGAGTAGGTCGGGCATGTTCTCCTACAGACGGGTTTCGAGAAGACATATAAATAGTTACCAAGACAAAAACAGGAAAACAAACATAATCGAAACATCGTCCACCTACTTTTTTGCACTATTTTTGGATACTCCTCCTGTGGAGGGACATGCCCGATTTCAGGCCAGGAGGCCTCCTCGACCTCCAGCACCCTCTGCGCCGCAGGTGCCGTCGCGGGCGGCGGCCGCCGCCGCCCGCGACGGCCTCTGCCGCCGCGCCGCGGCGCCGCCTGCCGTGCAGGCCGGCTCGGGAGGTGGCGGCCGAGGGCAGCGGCTCGGCAGGAGGCCAGCGGGTGCTGAGGGCGGCAGGGCCCTCGACCCCGGGGGGGGTCCTGGGGGACCAGCTCTTCGCTCGAGAGCCATCCTCCGACGGCCCCACGGCATGGCGAGGGCCCCGGGGGCCCGATGGGCAACCGAGCACACGTGGGCCCCGTCTGCTTCGCATGGCGAGGGTGGTGACGGAAGCCCTCCACCGCCCCTGCGCAGCGCCACAGGCGCCGGAGCGGCGACTCGAGTCGAATCTGCGTCGAGCTGGAGCCGAACCGAAGAGCTGAACAAGTCCGCTGGGTGGGCCCCGGGCAGGTCTCCCAGAACGGGCATCTGACAAAGGGTGGTTAGAGGAGAGCCTAACGTCGAACCGACATGTCAGACGGCGGTCGAAGTGATTTGCATCGGCGGACATCGGCCGCCGCGTCGGGAGAGGTCGGGTCGGCGGAGATCGGCGGGCCGGTGCGAGGAGATCAAGTATCGTGTTGGGAGGAAGGGGTTGGGAGGATGCAGGGAATGAGCAGTAGCATTCGGAGATCAGCCGCCTACGGGTAAGGATATCCTCATTTCTCCCAACCCCCTCCGCCCAACCCGATATGACGATCTGCTTCCTGACGGCAGGGCCTCCGCTGAGACCTCGGAGCCCAGATGACCGAAAGCCGAGGCCGGGGCCGGGTGGGCCTCGGGGGCCCTCGGAAAATGGAGCCGCACCGCAGCGGCGGCCCCCGGGGACGAAGCCCCCGTGGTGGTGGCGGAGGCCCCTCCCCCCGCCCCCACGCACGCCACCAGCGGCGGAGCCGCGGCGGCGCCGGCCCGTGCCCCCGCGCAGTGGGCGGCGGGGCGCTTCATCGGGGCGGCGGGGCGCCGCGCCGCGGGCGGAAGAGGCGCGGCGAGGTGCGGCCCAGGCCGGGCCGCAGGTGGGCGGCGAGAAGGAGGGGGGTCTGACGCGCGAGATGGCGAAGCGCAGAGATCCCGACCAAGACGGGGTGTCTCGTGCTCGCTTCGTGTCCGTGTTCCCTCGCTGCGTCTCCCCTTCCGCCCCTGCTGCAACACGGAAGCGCAGCGGAAACTGCCCACGAGGTCGCCAAAGCACCGCCCAGGTCGATGAGCGCTCGGAAGGCAGCGCGAGCCTCCAGAAGTGTACGTCCGTGCAGGCTTGCTCTCTGGTGCGGCCGAGTCCAACGGGGGGTCGCAGACCAC